TTTTGAGGAGATTTCGAAGAAATTTTGAAGAGTTTTTGAGAAAATTTTGAAGCGGGTTTGAAAACATTTTGAAGAAGTTTTGAAGAAATTTTGCAGATTTTCTGAAGAGATTTCGAAGAGACCTTGATTAGATTTTGAAGAAATTTTGAAAAGATTTTGAATAGAGTTTGAAGAAATGTTGTAGAGATTCTGAAAAGATTTTGCAGAGACTTTGAAGTGGTTTTGAAGAGATTTTATAGAGATTTTAAGAAGGCTTTTAAGAGAGGTTTTGAGACCACAAAGCTACAAAAAATTTAAATTCTTAGAAAACTTGAAGCCCTAACCTTAAACATTAAGATTGAAACTGTTCAACTATGGGTCGAATATTTGAATACCTAAGGTTTTGTTTTGAATCATAATTTATAGAGTAAAAGCTTCAATGTTTTTGAAGGTATCTTCGTAGCTTGAGGATGTGAAAAAGTTCAAACCTCAAAACCCTCAAACTTTGAACAGATAGGTCGTATAGGTCTCAATAAATGTTTGGAACATCCCCACCACAAATTTTGAAACCTTAAAACCTTGTGGTACGAAAGTCTTGAAACCTTGAAGCATTCAGTTTTGTGACTGTTTCCCTGTACCTAATCCTCAATCTAGTAACACCAAAAGCCGAGAGACACAGACTTTAACGAGTATTTACAGTTTTGAAACCTTACAAAACCTAAGTATAACCTTAATTGAGATACATTAGCTCTGAGGCTTCGAACTTGACCATTAATCCTCGAAATCGCGAGATATCACCTTCAAAACTTCATACCTTTGAAGCATTAAGAGACCCGAAATCCCACTAAAACTTGTGAATAAAGCTCTGATGCATTTAAAACCTCAAAACCCTGATCCAATGACTGTGAATGTTGGAAACCTATCGATCTCGAATATCTATAGCCTGCGTGCAAATAATTTCAAAGCATTAGAAAATAGGAAAACTGCATGTGTGTATCGTGCATGTCAAATAAGCTCTCAAGTCTGCAAAGTTTTAAAGCTTTCAAAACCTCAATAACGCTAAACCTTTGAGCTTTATTAGCACTCATAATGTCGATAGTGTTCGTTTTAGGTTTTTGAAACCTTGAGGTTTAAAAACCTTAAAACCTAGAATTGAAAAAAATTTCGACATGGAACCTTGATACCTTGAAACCTCGAAGTCATATTTTTCTCGAATATGCTTGCAATTTGGAATAAGATACGACTTACTTGTTAAGATCAATTTCGTCTCATGGTACTCGTAAATGACTAATTAAAGATCAAGACAGCGTTCCAGCTCTAGCCACGTGGCAACTCTCGCAAAGGGGTTCAAGAAAACCATTTGTATGTAAAGTAAAATTTTCTTTTATCATCTTGAAGTGTTTCCTCGCGAAAACATAAAGAAAACTAAATTGGGTGTAACGGAGGAAATATTTACACCAGACCCTTATCAGATGAAATTCAGCATTTTTAAAGCATATAAATAGCAATAAAAAGATGTATATATACGACCGCACACAGTAAATAACATTTAGCCATTGAAAATGTAAGGTTCTCCTCCGAAAAGCGCCGGAATATAAAAAAAGAACGTGAAAGGAAACCCTAATTGAGCATCCCGAAATCCATACCGTTTTGACATTGACGTAACGTTTCTAAATCGCGTTAATTTAACAAAGGAGTCTCGCTGTCATATCCTTCGAAAAGTGCGACGAACCCCCGAAGGACCCTTTTCAAGTTCATATCATCTTATTATAGCTGCGAGGACTTTAACATACTTGACGTTGAACCTGCGTAATCAAAATGTATGTTTAATCTTCGCTGTCAACCGTCTCCACGTTAATTACGCATTCCTCCTAAGACAATAAATTTTGGCGGCAATTTTTTTCGCCCTCCCCACGAAAATGGCACAATAAGCAGCACGGGGCGACGATTTTCCCCGTACGGAAATCGATATGAAAGGGCCTTTAAGCTATATTCGAGCTGAATGGAAACTGTTAACGAAATTACATCAATTTTCATCTTGCGACGATGGCCCTTTAATATTACTTCAGAAACACTCTCACCTTAAATTGCGTCAAATGCTTTTTAAATGGAGCGAATCGTTACGAATAAACATATCTCATTCACTAACGAACCCCTTAACTTTCGACGACTGTTGAATTGAAAACCTTAGGAATTTAATTAATGAGCTAAAGTTCCTTGAAACGGTTTTTATTTTTAGCCAACATACTTTCTCAATTGATTTTCCCTTTGTAATGCCCACCCGGAAAGTTTTTCTTTAAATTCTGACAATAAAAGTTAGGACCTTAAAGGGGCAGGAGCCTAAAATCTCAGCAACTTAAGAGATGAGGCACATGCGAGCTCATTATTTGAAACCTAGAGCTAAAATTCAGGGTCTCGGTCGACCAGTATTGAGTTCTGAGAATGATGAGGTAACGGAGAAGCTTTGTTTGGTAACAGTGTCACATGGCCTCGATGTTTCCGTACTTTGGGGCGTCTGAGCTGACAAGCCTCGGAGCTTTGAAGGTGTACAAAGTCAAAGCATCAGATTCTAACAGTTAGACTCCCAACGCCTCTGAGCCTCAAAAACTTAGAGCTTTAAAGCCTCAGAACGTCAGGTCCGAAAATTTCTGTGCCTCGGAGCCGAAGGGCTTTGAAAGAACATCGAGGTTACAGGAATTTGGAGTTGCTGGCAGCTGGATCTTCGAAGCCTTCGGTATCCTCCAGTTTTCAGTGATTCTGATCGTCGGGTTTTTGTAAGATCCTCAAACCGTCTTAGAGCGAATCCACTCTGTCGACATCTTTCGACTAGTGACAATTCAGAAACTCCTTGACCTTGTACAGCACTCACGGAATCGGTCGGCTCCGTCTTCAGCCCTGAACTCTTACCAAAACTGAGTGCACGCCTTCCGTATTCCGTATTCTGCATGATCGAGTCGGGGTGCAGTGCTGGTCTTTCGTTCTCCCCTCTTCTTTGACTTTTACTGAAGGCCAAGTGACGTCTATCCAGATTACTATTTTTCCATTTTGCTTTAGCTCTGCTTGTGTATAAGAACTTTTGTTACGTTTGCCCAAAGTGAACGTAACAGGGGGCCTACGTAGTGTTTTCCTTGGTTGATGACCAAACACCGTGAAACTGTATTACAAAACCCAAGAGCGGAGGCAGAGACGTCTGATCATTATATCCGTATGTCAACAAGTACGCGAAGCACCCCGTCGGCCATCCGGGGTTGTTAGTGGCCTCAACAGCTCATCTCCTGCAACCCTGACAGAATTGAAAGGCTTGTGAAGTGTGCGGTCGTCCCACCACAGAAACTATATCACCCTTGTTGCCATATATGTGCGACGAGCAGCGTATGTGCTCCTTCATAATTAAATCTGGATGATTGCACTGATAGCCTCAAATCCCAGTACTCTCGGAGCTTCAACAAAGCCACAAAGGTCATGGTCTCATGGTTTTAGTCTTTGAACTCCAAATTGGCAGAGTTCTCGCGATTACCAACGTCCGAAAACTAGGACCCTAGTTTAGGAACTTAAGTGCTTAAGGTTAGGACCTTAGGATTCTAGGTGCACTTAAGAGCTTTGGAGGAGCTTAAAGGCTTAGGGTCCATAAATTTCGGCAGCTTAAGAGATTACTTATGCATCCTAGAGGGTTTTAGTGCCTCAGTGTAGGTATCAATATTCAATTTGGCGGGGACATAGAACCCTTGAAAATCGGTTACTCAGTGCCGCGTGGACTCCAGGCTTCTTTGAAACTGCTCATCACCTCAGATACTCAAAACCCCTGAGTCAAAAAACGGATCCTTACTGAGCAGAAATGCTTCCGTGCTTTCAAGAACCGCGGTGTTTCAGGGCCCTGGAGTTCCTGGCATTCGGACCTCCCCAAGTCTCCGGGATCTTCCGGTTCTCAGTTTCTAGCAGTCATAGAACTCGAGGGACAGAGACTTTACGATCGTCAGGCCCTTTGAGCTAACGATTTAAGATTCTCAAACCATAGCAAATTCACTTTGTCGGCCATCTATCGATTAGTGACAATTCAGGAACTGCTCGTATGCGAGTCTGCGTACAGTTTAGTCAACGAATACGCGGTGCATCCCGTCGGCCATCCGGAGGTCCTAGTGGCCCCTCAAGCTTTTGCAACCCTGACAGAATTGAGGGAGTTGTAAAGTGTGTGGTAGTCCCACCACAGAAACTATATGAGCGGTGTTGCCATTTAGGTGCGAGGAGCGGATTATGTGCTCATCCATAAATTAAATCAGGATGAGTGCACCGATAGTGGCGATCAACGGAACGCATGTATCAGTTAAGAATATGACAAGAGAAATCTAGGATTTTAAAGATTCTATTCGAGGTTTCAAGGTTTAAAAATTCATATATCTGGAAGGGTTGAGTATATGAATGTTCAAAGACAGGCCGTGGAAGTTTCAAATTGAAATTTAATAACTCCTCTATTCTCACATTTTATCTTAAATTGTGATGTTTGTGCCTCTGGAACTGACGCGATCACGGAAATGTCTTCTCCCAGCTTCATACATGTATAGCGAATAATAATATTAACTATGATATGGATAGTGTATGTTACTTATTTCATTTATTTCATTTATTTTATTTATTTTATTTATTTTATTTATTTTATTTATTTTATTTATTTTATTTATTTTATTTATTTTATTTATTTTATTTATTTTATTTATTTAATTTATTTAATTTATTTTATTTATTTTATTTATTTTATTTATTTTATTTATTTTATTTATTTTATTTATTTAATTTATTTTATTTATTTTATTT